ATATATGCCTCCCATGTTAGTATTTCCTCGACAAAGAATGAAGCAGGAGTTATTGGATCGAGCTCCTCCAGGAACGACAGCAGAATGCAATGTTCGAGGCTGGATGACAACTGAGACCTTTATGACATGCTTCTAACGATTCGTCACCTTTTCAGGAGCATCATTAGCTACACCAGTCTCACTTCTTTCAGATGGTCATGTTACACATACGCAAAACAAAGAAGTAATTGAACATGCACGCAAGAATGGTGTCATAATGCTTTGCTTTCCCCCGCACTGCACTCATAGGCTGCAACCCTTAGATGTTGGCTTCATGAAATCATTGAGTGTATATTATGACCATGCTGGCACTAACTGGTTAAGGTTGCACCTGGGGCGTGTAATAACAACTTTTTAGATCAGCGAAATATTTGCTGATGCTTATATTCAAGCTGCAACAATATCTACAGCTATCAATGCGTTCAAAAAATGTGGCATAGGGCAATTCAATCAAAACAACTTTTCAGATTCTGATTTTTTAGCTGCATCAACAACAAATGTTCCATTGGTAAATGACGAGCCCGAAATAGCTCCTGCAACTGATGAAGATCAGCAACAACAATCGCCTTCCCTTGAAATCCCCCTGCATCACTTTTTCCTGCTATGACCCCACCCCTCAAAAGATCTCCTATTTCACAGTCTTCACAAGGAACTTCTATCAGAGCCTCAGCCTGGACTATCACGACAAGATGATAGCCTAATCCGATCTTCGATCCGTAAAGTTTGTCGTGATTCAACAACGACTTTTGAAAATGCTTCTCCTAAAGATATTCTCGCAATTCCAGCAGTGCAACAAAGAAACCAATCGAGAAAAAATTATCGCAGAGGAAAAACTGTTATTCTTACTTCAACACCCTACAAAAACGAACTTGAAGAAAGAGAACGACTTCAACGGACGAAGAAATGTTCAAATCTAAAAGAAGGGTTGAAAAAAGGCTTAAAGGAACAAAAGATCAAAAAAGTTCACTCCGACGTTGAAAATATAGATAAGGACGCTTTATGCATTTATTGCATGGACCTTAATCATAATTATTTGAAGTCTTCGGAAGGTTGGGTGGCCTGTCAACTTTGTGGATGTTGGGCACATACAGCCTTTGCAGGTGTAGATGACGACAATGAAGAAGAAATCCACATCTGCATATTTTGTGAGACAAAATAACTATGTACCCCGTACTGCCCCAAATTGGTACCCCATACTACCCCTACCCTGGGGCATGATGGGGTTTTCACTACGGTTTCGTAAAATTAAAATAAAAAAAATGTTGATTGTTTTCATCACCAAATTCATTGCCAAATGATTCTCTAATGTGTTACCAAAGGGTTGTGATTAGTTTCAATTAATAAATATATTTAATAATTTTTAATTGTTTATTTCCCTTAACGTCCCCTTTATGCCCCCCTTTCCCTAATTAGTTATCCTTGTTTGAACTTAGTCTTCTCACTAAGCTTAACGTACCAACCCATCTGTCCCACTGAGCTATCAGTGTCTAGTTTCTACGGTTTCAAATTGGGCACTTGAAACACTTATTTTCTGTGGCCAACTTTTGAAATTCAAGACATCAGCGGAAAATCTTTTGTTGTTCCATATTTTCTAACTATCCTCTGAACAGTTTGAAAAGGCTAAAAACCAACTTGTTGGTAATCTTCAAGAGAAAGATTGAACTGTTCAATCTTCCTCTTGAACTGTTAATCTTCTGTTGAAGTGTTTAATTTTCTTGTTTGGCACAATAATGTCGCTGGAATTGCCAAGTCTGCTTCTCAGAAGCTTGGAACACTGTTCCGAACCAGAAAACATCGATGATTTGAAGTATTGTTCTCTTGCATGGAGCTTCGCGCCCAAACATACCCTGAATTTGCTGGATCCCATCCAGAAAAGAGTCAATCTTGGTGACTTGGTATATTTGATTCCACCAAGAGCGGTACATATCAGAAATATGCGACGGACTGTGGCTGCTCATTGTTTTGAGGTTCAACTCAGTACTTTTCAAGGACTTCTTCATTTGGATACTTGCGTTTATGTGTAGTGAACTTCCTGAGGAAGTTTTTCAAAAGGATAAAAAAAACGTCCATGAAATTAGATTTCAATTTCTGGTTCTCTTCTTCAAATTGTGTTATACTGAATGGACTTTGGACATTGAGAAGGAATATGAAAATACTCCAGAGTTGACAGAAACCTGAATTATTCAATTCGACGGTGAGAATAATGAATTTGGAAACGGAGAAGCTTCAATTCGAAATATTCTGTTTGAATATTCTTGATTCTTGATTCGACGGTGAGAATAATGAATTTGGAAACGGAGAAGCTTCAATTCGAAATATTCTGTTTGAATATTCTTGATAAAGAAAGCAGGTAACATTACCATTCGAAGGGCAGTTCTCCATTTGTGAGTATTTATAAGTTAGATTATTCCACTGTAATTAGAGAATACTGCTTATCTGAACGTAAAAACTTTGTTTCGCCACTTAACTCTGAGAATTTTTAGTGCATAAAGAGTGGAATAATTTGGCCAGGAAAACAGAAATCATCACTAATCCTTTGCTGCATCAGCTGGTTACTAATAATGATGCCCTTCAATAAAAACTTACTTAGCAAAAATGCGGCTATACCCTTCAGGATATGAATCCTTACAAAATACGACTCACTGATGGTCATAGCTCTGTACCCAGTATAAAAGCCACCTAGGCATGGTTCTTACTCTGAAAAATCTGTTGAAATCTGTTTTCCGTTACCCAGCTATCGTCCCCCTACGAATGACAACTTTCGAAACTTGTCCGAGCTAAGAACTAACTAGGTCTCACCTTTTAACGCGCGATTCCTAACATTGGTTGGACGATAGGAAGTGGAAAACGATAGTCCGGCCTTGCGGTTCGAACCACCGGAGCACACAACAGACGATTGAGTAAGTGAAGCAACCCACCAACGTCAACCCACAAGGCTACCATCCCACTATATACATTTTACCCACAATATCAATTTTACTGTGAAGGATATTGGTCACCATATATCTTCCTTGTCCGCTCAACAGAATGTTCCACGCTCTTCCGAATTATTGTACAATATTTTGATATGTTATGAAATGTTGAAAATACCCCCGAATGTTTTTTTAACCTCATACAACCCTATTTCATAGATGTGGCATAGAGGGCTTCCAAATCGTTCAACTTCCTTGTTCGCGATCTGTGATGTTCCAGGATATTTCTAAACGTTTCAAATCATTTTCAAACATTACGGTAAATTATCTGCATGTAACTCCATCGGTATAGCCAGCGCACGCCAAGATACCTCTCAGGAACAAGAACTTTTTTGACTTACTCAAAACCTCTGTTGATTGTAAAGTATTTCCAAAACCAATTGGAACAGCACAGATGAGGAATTCCCGCCTCGTCATAGGCGTCGGCATATTATTTTTCAGTGGTAGTTTTTCAGTTACTTATTCTTACAATCATAGCAATTGATCACCCCATGAAAAAGTTATCTCAACCACCATGGGTAAATATGGGTAGTTGATTTCCGAGTCGAAAACTCTAAAATACAATGAAAACACAAATAATCAGACCGAATTCTCGTCAAAGATATATTTACAAAATAATTGAGGCCAACAAAATTGCTAGAAAAATCAAAATTCTTTTTCGCTATAATCGGATGAGGTGGAATCATCATCGGGTTGAGTAACGATCGGATTTATGGAACTTTGCACATAATATTTGTTCTCTCCTTCTGTAACGTGAGACACACAGTTTCTCCACACATCACTAATATTTACTTCATTTACCACTTGTCTTATATTGTCAAGCACTACAGCATTCGAAGTCGGTGACTGATTACATTGTCGTAAGCTTTCTTTCATTGTGGCCCAAACCATTTCGTGGTATTCAGCAGACGAATCTTTTATATTTTTGGCCGACAGAAGCAAAGCGTAAGTCACGAAACCACTTTCATTCCCGGCATGCAGAATTATAACACGTTTTCCCCTTGAAGAAGGTGTGTTCAAAGCACAATACTCAGTTTTGTCTATCCAGCCATATTTGACCACATCATGGGTGTCAAATCAAGTTCCGTCGAGGTAGATTAAAAAAACATTTTTATCCAGCCAGTCCATATAGTCAAGCCTCTATTCCCCAACAACATTTGATAGCATGTTTAGCACAGGCAAGTAATGTTTATGACTGTACTCTTAATTTTATTGCCGTTCCAATTGAAAATGGATATACTAGAGCCTGGGTATTACTCTGACGTATAAGCTATATTGAGGTGAATTTTCATCTCAATCCGTTCAGTCGTTTTGGCGTGAAAGAGCCACGAACATACATACATCCATTCTCATATTTCTATTAATGTATAGAGTATATGTATAGGTATAGATCGGGCGATGGAAATCCGAACAAATGAAATTCAACATGAGACATTGTCAACTACCTTCAACTCAATGTTATCAAATGAAATGTTAATCAAATGTTAATTCGCCAGGAATGCTTCCGGTAACCTGGTAGTAATTATTTCAACAGTTAGAGATATCAAGCGCAACAGCTCTTGACTGTCTATGTTTTTCGTTTGGGTTATTCGAAATATGAGTGACATACTATATAAGGTTGCCTGTTGATCTTTGTTTCCAAAAGTCATATTGTTGATCGCTCAAGTTGTTGAAGCTTTTCAAATATTTAAAGATATGGTGATGAACATAGGCGTTGTCACTTTCCGAATTCATGTTTTTATTCGAGCTCTCGTTGAAAACTCTACATGTCGTTTTTCAGCTGTTCCCACTATTGCTATTTCGGAAATGGTAAGACCTACAAGGACGGTTGAAGTGGACACAAGTTTTCTATTTTGGAGAACACCTTTCGAAATTCCAGTCAGTTTGGTGATGCTTCCACATTTATAAATTAAGACATGAAGAAAGAAGAGTTTCGAGTGGCGCCATGGATTTTTATGAACAAAAATGATAAACAAGTGAAAAACTACAAATTTTCATTATGCTTTATTCCATTTCCTTCTATGAAATGATCTGATCATTTTACAACTTGATATATTCAATATAAATTAGCTACTGATCCACCTCTTCTTTTGTCTGTCACACCAAGAAGTCTTTCTCCATTATCTCTGGAAATGCAAGTTACTGCTGCAAATCCATCCGGATCTGAGAATGTCAATTTGTGACCTATTTCTCGCAAACCATCAACAATATCAGGTTTCTGAAAAAAAAAACAAAAATGTTTTTTTAATGATACGTGGTAATAAAATCACCGATAATGGATTTGGAATGACTTGTGAATACCCGTGTATAGGTAAATTATTGAAGTCTACTCAAAGGTTTCTTTCAACATGCTTGATTCTATAATGAAAACAACAATTGGAAACAGAGGTGTTTAAATAATTAACAGTGTTATTATCACTCACGAAAAATTTGTATTCTTCAAACCAGTGACTGAAATATGACTTCGTATTAAATAATGAATTCAGTATTTTTCACTTTCTTGCCAAAATAAGGAACTCCCAAGTCGACGGAAGTTTGTATTTCATAATTCATCTATGAATATTGATGATGAGTATCAATACCATTTTCATGACACTGGTTAGTACAAAACGTTACTTTGGCATTGAAATATGGAATTATATTTTTGTAAATATGTGATATTGATATTTATTTTATAGTGAAACAAAAATGAATGCACATTATTTTTATTGATTTTCATTACCCTATTAGCATACAAGAAAGTTGAAAAAAATGATTCCCAAATGCACGGTATTACTTTTTCTTTCATACTCGCGAGTACTTTCTCTCAATAAACCCGAAATACAGTCTCCCATCGTATTTTCATTGTATTGGCCTCGATAACATTGTTAGAAATTCATGATACTTTGATGGAAACGTGCTTGTTGCTTTTTTCAATAGGCCTTCCTAATATGGAACTCCTACCTACAGAGTACAGCAAAAAGAGCATATGTGGCTTATGAGCAATGTCGGATGACAGTGGGACGCGCATGGGGTCTTTCACCTTGTGTGGTCTCCTGAATCTACACTGCAATAATAAGATCTATGTTAACGTACGGAGTCACTGCATGGGGACCAAAACTTCTACATGCAACGGCCATCCAAAAATTATATCGAATACAGCGATTGGCTTGTTTAAACATCACAGGAGCCATGAGAACAACACCAACCGCGGCAATGGAATTAATTACTGTTCTGACCCCTCTGGACCTGTACGTTAAGGAGGTTGCGTTGATGGCCATGTTACGATTGCACACGGCTGGTGTAAACCTCGAAGTAGGAATGGGTCAATTGAGGCTGAGCCTATGGCGACAAGCGCTCACTGCGCCACCTCTGCTGCAGGCAACCAGTGATGCAATTGAACTCAGGTTTGTGATTAATAAACCCTACAAAATACAGACGAAACATAACATAGAGTTAGATGCTACAAATGCAATACGCATATATACAGACGACTCAAAAATCAAAGAAGGCTCAGGATGTGGAGTGTACTCCAGATCACTAAGCCTATAGATGAGGTGGGGAAAGGGAAAAATACCAGAGTGGTTCAAACAAAACTGGCTGGGATCTCAACCGTCACAAAAGAAATAACCAGGAAAGGAATTTCTGGCAAAAACATAACAATCTGCACTGATAGCAGACAAGCCCTATTGTAGACAAGCCTTGAACAAACAACGTGTTACCTCAAGGCTAGTACTAGAGTGTCACTAGGATCTAGCCAAAGCCTCGGTGGATAATAACATCATCCTGAGATGGATTGAAGGGTACGACAGGAGTAAAGGTAATCGTATTGCTGACTCTTCAGCCAAGGAAGCGGCTGGACTAAAAATTTTAGGACACAGTGGCACCTACGGCCTAGTGACTTCGACAATTGCGGAACTAGCCGAACGTTGAACCCATGCTCAATCCCTAAAGAGGAATCAAAGGATGCAATCTTGACAGGATCACCTTGGGCGACCCTGGGAAGCTGGCGCCGAAGAAATATCTGGCGATGACCAGGAAAAATCTACGCTCAACAGTAGGATTTCTGACTTGCCACCGTCAACTAAGGAAATACGGGGCTGGTGGACACACCTCTATGCAGGATGTGTGAACAGGGACATGAAACTGTCAGGCATGTCATATGCGAATGTCTGTAGTAGAGAGTGTGTGTTTGGTAAGTCTTGTCCTGCACCTGCCGATATGAAGGAGATGTCTCCGAGAGACCTGTCCACCTTCCTGGAAAGGACAGGATGGACGATGACCTAGGAGGACAACTTCTTGGGAGGATGTACAATGGGTCACATGTGGTCTAATTGCTGTGGGCCAACACTCACCCGCCATACTCTGCAGATACAGGGAGATACAAAACATTTTCGTACACAGCATTCTTGTGATTCTATGATTACTTCTATAGGTAATCAAGAATAACCAACCATCGCGGACATGTGATGTACATTAATGAAAGGATTCTTTGTCGAACATTTTGTGGATCGAAATATTGTGTGATTGTTTGGGAGGGAATTCATATCTGGGAATAATATCACATGAATAACAGTTAGCCAGTGTCTATTTGGGAATCATAGCATTGAAACATAGTTGAATGAAGAACATAACTGGTGAAAGAAGTTCTGCCTTTTGACTAGATAATAGGCAATCTAGAGTGATATTTGAGTTTTATGAACTCAGTCAAGTTCTCTCTTATGAACATTTATGTTTCTTGGGGTCAATAATTATTGATTGATTGAAAATATGTATGTTGTACATATATGAATAACAGAAAAATGAAAAAACTCACTTTTTGTAGAAAGTCGTTTTCTAGTTGAAGAATCATTGGAAAAAGCTGGTGATGGATCCTCTCCTCATTTGACGCTTGTATCAAATCAAAACGGTAGAATAGGCGATTGATGATAACCTGAAATATTGTCCCAAAATTATTAAATGAAAATGAGGTATTCACGTTTGGTTTCTTTACAACGAGTCGAACTTTGAAGTTATATTCTGCCTAAGAGAAGCAATACGGAGAAAACTCCGGTATTGTACTTGTGATACACTGTTTGGAAACTTTGGTGGAATAATGAATATTACTGGAGTTTTTATCACCAACACGAAACCGTTATTTTAACAACCCGACCCGTGTTCCAAATACCAAGTGATCATCTTCAAGAGGGAGGTTGAATCTTCTTCTTGAAGATGGTGTTTCAGTCATCAAGTTATCATCTTCAAGAGGAAGATCTTTCTCTTGGAGATGACCACTTAGTGATCGAAACACGTGTCGAGGTGTTGCTTGTTCGTAATTTTCGGCCAAAAACAACACCGTGATCATGCATTAGCCACCGTATTCACCAGATTCAGCCCTCTACGACTTTTTTCTGTTTCCAAGAACCCATGAAATGACGGCGTTTTGCGACGATTGAGAAGATAAAAACCAAATTGCTGAGATAGCTCAAGGACATATTAGAACAATATATTGTTAAAATACTTCTAGTAGTTGAAGAATCAACTCACCTGAAGGACATTGGATGTAATTCTGCTACCACCTGCACCACCAATAACCATGAATACGTTGCCATTATCTAAAATAATTGAAGGACACATGGATGACATTGGCCGTTTACCAGGTTCTATGTAATTTGTAGGGGAAGGTGGTAAACCAAATATATTTGGCTCACCCGGGATTGAAAAATCATCCATAGAATCATTCAGGATGATACCTGTGCTTTCCGACATGAATTTTGCTCCAAATCTGTTAACAAAAATACTTTCGTTGAATGCAAATTTTTCGCGAATCATAGAGAATGATGTATATGATAATGAACAGTAATAATTATACTATAAAATGAAGCAGAACAATCAAATTATTTACTTTTTTGAAAATCAGTGATGATGGGTTATACTCCAGAAATTTAAGAATTCATAAAGAAAGAAAGCTACATATTTAATAATGTTCCACTAAGTGCTGGTTGCGATTTATCCAAAAAGAATCCAAATTTAGTATGCAAGTTGTATTTGGGAGGCCTATTGCCGTAAGATTGCGCTGTGGAACTCAAGGAAAGCGGAGAGAATATCGTGATTTAATATCTTGAAATTTCTATGGAAAATGAATTCAACATCATTCATTCAGAAATAAAAGCTTCAAAAGTATTGGTGGACTAATTCTTAATGCAGGGAGTGAGATCAACTCTGTTATCTCCAACGAATGATGCGAAAAAATGGTGTCATGAATGAAATTGTATAGCAGGACGGTTTGGTTTCTCCAAACATGTTGCAACTTCAATATATATTATTCGTTGAGAAGCGAATTCTCATAATAAATAATCATTATCTGATCACAAGTAGGTGAAAAACTCTTGGGGATTTTCAATGTTACTACCTTCATTCGGGTTTGAAGGCCCTCGTAGTTTGGAACTGTATCCCAATTTTTCGCTAGCACGAGTGGCTGGTCACGGACCATGCAGACAAGGGGATCTGAACTACTGACGACTCAACACGCTATATCCAGTACCATTCTGTCATGTAGACACTCCAAACTCGAATTTCCACGGCCCCCCTCTTGTCGAGGGAAGTTCAACCGTGGAACGGACGATATGGGATGCGAATTCTTATAGAATTGCATCATTTTTCGGGTCTTTACGTTGAGTTGATACAGATCCTCCCGAGTCCACTTCACTACTCCAAACGAGTAGAGTAAGATTGGAACGGAAGCATATTTGTTGCAGCAACTTTGTTCTTCCCCGACAGTTACGATGACCAGATCTATTGAAGTTTGTACTGATACTTGCAGCGGAGAGAGTTCTTCACTGCTGTCACCTCTTGAGAGTGGCGTTGTTCCACCCCGAGGTAAGTATACGTCTCTCCGGCATCCAAATGATGTAGGATGCTTCCATCTGCGAGCTGCACATCCTCTCCGTAGTCCTCACATCGTCCTCATTTGAGGAGGAGGATATTATATTTATAATTATTATTTTCTTAAACGAAGTATGCGCTGGTCAGGCCCTATCCCCCGAAGCCCAGATACATTCGGAAGGGCACGCCAGCCTTTTCCACCAGCGACCACTCCCCACACCAGGTGAGTGATCATTGGGTACGAGAATCATGTTTCCTGAGCAAGCGCAGTGAGCCTTTTGCATCTGTCTGGCTAAGATTTCTGTCTTAGTGCGGTAGGCCGGTATGATTTTAAGATTCGAGAGTACAGAAAGCAACATTCCACCAAGGACTTTAATAATCAGAATAACCATCTTGACCGAATGGTCTGTATAGAGTCTGCGGAGTTCGAAGAGAAATCTCGATATTCGTTCCGTTTCTCCTTCTCTTTTCGGACGATATTAGTCTTGCCAGGAGCTGAAAACTCCACGACAAATTTCGTCTTCCTCTGGTGATCGAGAAGGACTACATCAGGCTTATTAGCTTGTATGAGCCTGAGGGTGGGGAACGAATAGTTACAATAAATTCGGCACTTCCCGTTTTCCACAACGGATTCAATATCTCCCGGAGCGTAGGGCAACACCGGTGTCTCATCAATACCGTAAGAGTGCCGTAGATGGTAATATAACACTCTTAGGGCCGCGTTATGTCGATGAATATAAGTCGAGACCGCGTATGCTGGACATGGTGATAGGAAGCGCATTAGGGTCTCGGGCGCCTCGCCCTCGCCCACCTTGTGTCAGGAACCTTTATACCCACCACGCAACTGCGGTAGACTGATGTGTTGAAGACATCCTGGCAAGTCATGATGAACCCCTCAGTTTCCGACTTCAGTCCACTTGACCTGAGGAAAGTGAGAGTCAGGTGCTTTGATATGCCAAGGTTTCCAAGGTTATTGAAGAAGACCCTATGCATTGGCTTATCCTTGTATTTCCGCAGTATTGAGGTAATCTCTGCTGCTTTTATATGAGCTTTCTGCTGAACGGGTTCCAACTCGGTGACAGAGTTGTGGTCACCTCGTTCAGTGTCGAAAACTAAACCGAGTTCATCAGCTTAATATTATTAGTATCACGTCTAAGGCTATATCAAGAAAGTATCAACAAGCTCTCAAATGATTGATTTTATGCACTCACATATAATTTATACTGCTGGTTACCGAAACTACATCACCATTCGGAGCCACAACGCATATGTGGGCGGTTCCATGATCGTTATGGTTTTCGGTGAAAGCTCCATAGTATGACGGATCTTGTGATGTTCTGTTGTCGAATATCTTCTTCCTTGTCTGAACAGCATATTTTACGGATGTTATGTTGGCCAAAATCTGTAACATACATTCATTTGGAAAAGTGTAATCTTTCACGGCCGAAGATAACTGAGTCAGAGCTGTTTTTTGGGTTGGCCAGGCTCTGCAGATTCTTATGACTGAAGTTCCGTCTTCTACTGCGGAAGACATTATCAAAGGCGATAAAGTTACGGTCGAAGTGCTCCAGTTGTATATCATCATTAGTGGACAGGTAGTCAGTTCAAGTCCGAGTTTAACAGGCTCACCACACTTCAGAGTCAAATTACTATCGGAAATCTGAACGAAATAACTGAAACGTTCATTAAAAACAGATTGCGAGATACAAGTCCACAGGATCGATTGTAGTTAAAGTTACAGAGATCTTCTTCCTCGGGACATTATGGAACTCATTCACGAGAAACAGTGACGCAAAGAGGTCATGCTCAGACTTGCGGAGAGGGTCAATCAACGAATAAATGAGTTCACCAATGCTCAGTGGAGATTTAACGCTCAGGACAACTCTCTGTGAAGGATGGCGCGACTTCTCGACAACAGATACGAGCCCATGTCTACCACAGAGAGAGGTACAGTTTCACAACTATCGGACAGGAAATAGTTACTGTCCAGTCCCCTAGATGGCGTAACACGAGGAAACGCGACTTAAGCGTAAAGGAGCGTAAAGTTCGTGTTGAAAGCAAAAAAACATTTTTAAATCAGCCATCGCCCCCCTGAACCGCTTCAACGCCCCCCAATGTTCTCCGTACTCTTTACTGCCCCCCTATAGGCCTCCAGAGCTCACAAGGGTGTCCCCCTTTATCGTCCACTTTGAAAAAGACTGATATAAGGTAATCGAAGTGTCTTGAAGCAGATCGGGCATTCAGATCATTCGCGGAGCTGATGTCGAGTTGAGCGAGATCTTGGCCAAGTCACAATCAATTTACGACGACCAGCGGCGGTCAGCGTTATTTTTTATTCAAAGGATAATCAAAAACTACAATATGCAATAGAGGTTACACAGTATCCACTGAAGTGGTATTTCATTGAATGTATTATTCTTTGTATGATTTCCATGAATTCTATTAAAATAACATGAACTTTCATCTTCGTCAAGAGTTCAATCTGGAACTTTGTGCTTTTTTCCTTTCTTCGGAAGATCCCCACTTTTTTTTTAGATGTGGATAAGTAGAAAGCCAAAACCATTTTGTTCAAAAAATTTGTCTCTTTCAAAAATATATTCTTTCCAATACGAGTTCAACGTGGTCTTCACATATTTTTGGGATGATTCATTATTTTATTCAAAAATATATCATGTTTTTCTTCTTGAACGCTCGTTTCGATGTGATAAACAATAGGTTATGAAATAATCAAACTTCCGTATCATTTTTCACCAATGATCTGATAATTTATAGATATTCACAGTATCATTATCAAAGAATTTATTTTCAATTTTTGGGAGTGATATGAACAGACTATACTCACCCCTTCCACGTCAACAAAATCGTCATCACCTAGATTCGTTCGGGCTCCATAACCAAACTTCAGTGCCTCTACCAACCGTTGGTAGTTTGTTAGCGAGAAAGGTGTTTCAGAATCGAGAAATCCATTGAGAATATTGGACATGTATACGAGTAGAGGTCCCGATGATGGCAAAGGAAACGAATGTAGTTGCATTCCGGATATTGAGGTTTTGACTGAAGCTTTCCATTTGGGTCTGAAAATGGAAAAAGCATTTTTCAATTTTTCATATGCAATGGCTGACACATAGTGTGCAGCACTGAAAACGGAACAGATCAGATATTTTTTGAACAACTTTGTTGATAATAATGTAAAAGCAGGTCAATTCGTGATTGGGGTGGGAGATCTCAACTATCATACCTCCTTCCCAGCCCTTTGGTGACCATCACCCCGATGATTCGAACAGGTGAATTAGGTACTGAATGTGACACATCGTTGGAAATGTAATTTTTTTCTGACATCCTTTTGCGGAAAAACAGCATAATCAAAGAGCTCCAGAACTGCTCCAGAATGCCACACAATATTTCGAGACTAACTCATACTCATGTATGGCAGTTGAAGGGGAACAGGTCTTTCTTTGTCTTCGGACCTGGAAGATAGAACGAACTAGGATGCTGGCTACGAAACTGCTATTTCCAACTGAAAGACGAATTCTTTAGCTAAGTTATAGCCAACATATACAATGTGTAACAACGAAAACTTAACAGAGCCGTTTTTTAATATAGAAAGTGAGATTTTTAAAAAAAGCTCGGACACGTCGATTTCTAATTGAAGGGAGACACCTTTCAGACTAATCAGATTTTTTGTAGTGCGCACCCCCTCGGAGGGGTGCGTCCGATGACCCTTATTTAGATAGGGAAAGTAGGTCGAGTGGCATCTTGTTTTAAAGGTCTTTCGAATACCTTTACAATTCTGTTAGAAGAAAATTTTTGTAACGATTAGTTTTCGAGATAATTTGAAGTCAAAATTGCTATGTTAATAATACATTAGACAGACCACTCGGTAACTTGTATGCCTAAAAACAAAATTTCGAGCAGTTCTTTTTATCATTTTTTTGTTAAATTATTGTTACATGAAGCAAAATGGCGCACATTTTGAACATTTACTCTAAATTTCCTATGTGAGTTACCCTTATTAGGTGTTAATTTTTTTGTGTGTGCTTTAAAAACAATTATTGGGATTTATTAACCCTAAAACAGTTTTTTAAACTTTTCTGTGTCATCAGCATTCAAAGAAATCAGCAGGTTGTATTCGTTGTGTAAGTAAGTTTTTAGTATGATTCACTTTTTTATCAGAAGCATAAAATATCCACGTCAAAAGGCAACATTCATAAGGAGGTGCCACTCAATTTACCTAAAATGTAAGGGTGGTAACCAACTCCATCCCCCGAAAAAATCTCCTCGTATTAAACAAATAATTCTTACTTTTTTACGAAATCAAATGGACACGTATTAGCAGGTTTTCATAAAAAGCAAAAATTTATTTTTTTTATGAAAGTTCTGAACGTAAATTGTACCTTGAAAACAATTTGATTCATTTTGAAAAGAGTTGAACTCAATAAAAATACCTTTAAATTTCCAAATTATCTCGAAAACAAATCGTTACAAAAATTTTCTTTTAACAGAGATGTATAGGTATTTGAAAGACCTTTAAAACAAGGTGCCATTCGACCTACTTTCCCTATCTAAATAAGGGTCGTCGGACGTACCTCTCCGAGGGGGTGCGTACTATAAGAAATCTGAATAGTCTGAAAGGTGTCCCTCTTCAATTAGGAATTGACATGTCCGAGCTTTTTTTAAAAATCTCACTTTTTATATTCAAAAACGGCTCTGTTAAGTTTTCGTTGTTACACACTGTATATGGACTGGTTTGACGACTTCATCATAGTATAAAACCATGCAAATACAGAATGAGACACATTTCTGGAGCACAAAACAGCATAAAACCTTCCATCGCCTTCACAATGAAGCAGAAAATCCACAACAAATTGACATTTTTGTATGTATTGGTGATGAGGACTAACACTGACTGGAAAACATCTGCATATCGAAAACCCACTCACACGGGACAGTATCTGAATCACAAATCCAGCCACCATCAATCTACTGAAAGAGGAATCATCAAGACTCAATTAGACCGTGATTTTGGGCTTTGTAATACGAAGGAAGGTCTCGAGAAGGAACTAGACATCATCAAAAATGATCTTCAACGGAATAGTTACTCCAAAGTGAGATTCTAGCCAGAAGACAGCCTCACAAGGAAGAGGAGCACTTCCTCACGTCAGAGGATTGTCGAAAAAGATGAGAAGAAATGAGTACGAGTACAGAATCTGCTTCAGATCCGGAAACACCATCCCCAGCAGCCTCACGGAAAATAAGTCACCAAGCGAGGACTGCAATTCCAAGAATTGAATCTACCGGGTACCCTGTAAGTACGACAAATCCTATGTTGGTGAAACTGAGAGACCATTGTTAGTACGCTTCGCCGAGCAAAAGAGAAACACTCAGCGAGGAGAAACCAGCAGTTCGAGAAGAGCAGAGCATGTTTGGACTCATCAACATAACATCAAGTGATCCCAAACTGGGATCATCTACAGATAGGAATACTCGTTTGAGAGGAAGTTTGAAGAAGCTGCATAAATGTTGTTTGTTTTTTATGGCGTATGTTGCGAGGTTTGATTTATATGTTATTGGGTTCATGTATGCTTTTTTGTGTTCGTCGTACCTTTGGGTCAGTTTTTTCCCGGTTTGGCCGATAAAGAATTTGTTGCAGTTCGAGCATTGTATGCTGTACACTGCGATTAGGTTTCTGTCTCTGTCTACTTTTTCATAGCTGTTTATTTTTTGGGTTATTTTCTTGTTCGACTTGTAAGTGATGTTGATGTTCGAGGGTTTGAAGAAAGATGTTTGTTATTCCTTTGTATGGCGATAAAGCATCATCAAAAACCACAGTATGCTATAGTGAATTCAATCATGGTCGTAGTTCAGTCACCGGCGAGTTGTCGTTCGTATGGGGCGATAGCTGATTAACGGAAAAACAGACAGACTCTGGCGAATTTGTGATCTAAATTTTCTTAGATCTTACTAGGGCTTGGTGTCCGCGGCCCAATCAATGAGTGGATCGTGTCCTTCCTCGAACGAAGAAAGTTCATTATTGAGATTGATGACCTCATGTCGGAGGAATTTGAAACAGATATTGGTACACCCCAGGGAAGCGTACTCGGACCTCTAATTTTCCTCATTCTCATTAATGACCTTTCCATTCACATATCTCAAAGAAGGGTACTTATCTATGCAGATGATACTTGCATTACTGTGTCTGTGTCAGACACTTCATCTGAAGGACAATGTGAAAAAGTCAACACAATCCTAATGAAGTTCAAGGACTGGTGCTTCGAAAATAATCTTAAGATTGATCATAATAAGATGGAATATACAGCGTGACTCACGGTCGATGATAGGTTAGACGTTTCTAGAAGACGCAAAGCATGATTTTTCTGAAAATTTCACCTCTCACATTTTCTTACCTGTTCTATCGATCTGAAATATTTTCAGCATTGCGGCGTTGCCACTTCCATCAAAACGTCCTAGCAACTTTATTTTTTTAAATAGAACACCCCGTATACTAATACATTTTTGGAATCGCTCTGGTATTTTAATACTTTTTTGTCGATAATATCCTATACCTATCTCTATCTGTTTTCGAGATAAAAAATAAATTGTGCTAAATATGGTCCAAAACATAGCCTTAATTGAAATTAAGTACATCAGTACTCTCAATTCATGAAAAG